AAGCAGGCGGGCCAATGCCCAGTAACTCCATTAGGGTTTAAATATATAGGTAAGAGAGGTTTAGGGTTTGGGGTTCAGGGTTTAGGGTTTGGGGTTTAGGGTTTGGGGTTTAGGGTTTAGGGTTCAGAGGTTTTTAGGCTTAACGAAAGCCCTGCCGTTACTGGTAAAACTCCCTCTCACCATGGTAATATCATGGGTTTAGGGTTTAACCTCGCTGGCCCTGACCATAGTAACATCACATCATAATACCCCACGCCTTCTGAAGTGTTGGTACCCGTGTAAGCTGGCTTAAGATCTTTTGCCCGCCAGCTTTTGTCTTGCCAGCTCGCAGTCCCTAGTCCCAAAGAACAACGCTTGATACATGCTTGAGTTTTGCTAACTCCCATGCAGTGTTTGATCACTGTTTCTATGTCCACATGACAGCCATAGTGCAGAATGGATGTTCAAAAACACAATGCTATATATTCTTCTGTCCCAGGGGTGAGCCCCTTGAGCAGCAACAGCTCAGATAATCGCGGTATGATTGAGCAACAATATCCTGCTTGCTTCTGAACCTGCATCCTTGAAAGCATGGCCTATAGTATATTGAGGCTATCTAGGGATCATGGAAGAGCACATGGTAACTACTACAAGCTTTAGTGTTTAGGTTTAGGGTGTGGGTTGTTTTGCACTTGGGGGTCATGCAGCATGCTACCTAGCACCTTCTAACTCCCACAGTGGAGATTGCTACGGCGAACAAGCCACTCATCACCTCCCCCGAATAATAAATACTCACCAATGGCTGGTATTAGGGGAGAGGAGTACTCCGCAATGTCAGCCTGCAACGGGGCTTCCCAACATTGGGCCCCCTTTTCTCTAGGTACCTATAATCAGGATTATAGCATGCAGGGTTCGTGGAATTTCTGGAAATGTTCAGTCAGACTTCGTGGGTGTAGGGCGTTGGGTTTTAAGCCTTTGGTTTTTGGTGCGTGCACTTGTGCTATGGGGCCATGATGCAAGTGGAACCCGGATAGCTGTGTCTCTCACACTAAGAGCATGGAAGTCAACAGGAACCTGTTCTCTGAGCGCCAAATACCGAAATGGGGGTTTCCCAAAATGAGGAGTCCTGATAATAAGGACTATAGTGTTTTGGGGTTTATATGGAGGCCCCTGTATAATTACCAAGATGAGAATCCCTCATAGGCCCAGCAAAGATTGATATCATCCTCATCAAGAAGGGCCCCAACCACATTGAATGCTGCACACCTAGCAGCCCGCCTTTCATCCAGGTCTCCGAACGCACAAGATCATTGCACCATTGGGTGTGCCTTACAGCTGCGATTGTCAAAAATTGTCAGTCCCTGTTTGTGAGGGCCTCCAAATGAGCTATAGTCTCAATTCCTTGTATCCCTCTTAAATCAAATGAGGGCTGTGCTATCTTGCGGTTACGCAGGAGGCTGACTTGAGAAACTCGCAGTAGCTGAGAGACGGCATGACATCAGACATGAGATTGAAGACCACCAGATTTCGTGATCTTTCAGAAGTGATGGCTCCTGAGCTGGAAGCAAAGAATAATCAGCGTAGAACCGGTGGCTTGTCAAGTATCGGGGATCCGTCAAATTTCACCTTCTTTCAGGTGGGAGGGGTCTAACTCTAAGAAAATCCCTTCTCAAGCTGCCAATAAAACACGAAGCTGCTCAGAACCCCATCCTGCCGCACAACACAAAATTAGGAATACCCTTTGCAAAGTCCAAAAAATCAGGATTATAGTATTTCGGGGTCCCCCTATTTCAGGAAAACTACTATATAGCAAAACAGAGGACATCCTACAGCTTGCTGTGATCCCTAAACCCTAAGCCCTAAACCCGAACCCCCTTGCTGTGAACCACTCCCCTCAACCCATCGCTGCAAAGACCCAAAAAGTGAACCGCCAACGGCGTTGAAGCCTAACAGGGCTTTGAACCCTTCGAAGCCCAAGAAGCCTAAGTTATAAGCAGAATCCTTCTACTTCCCTAACACCACAGAGGAGGTTGGGATTCATACAGAATGGTGGGATACAGGAGGTATAGCAGGAGTCCATATTCAGGATTCTACATGAGCTATAGTCTAAACTCCTAGTATCCCCCTTAATGACCCCTATAGTAGTCCCCTGTATAATGCCCTATATAACCCCGTTTAGGGAGTTTAGACAAGGTCTACCTTGAGGAAAACTTCCACTCGTGCCCCGGAATCCTTCCGCCCTGTGCGCGCCTGGACTCCTGATGCAGCTCCGGGACCTCTTCTCACAGTTTGCTCATAATATACCATAATATACCATAAGATACCATAAAATACCATAATATACCATAATATACTATAATATACTATACTATAGTGTACTATAATTTACCATAATATACTGGAATATACCATAATATACTAGTCGTTACTAGGAAAGGTTTGGGTCAAGCGATTTAGGGTTTGAGGGTCTAGGGGCGATTCTTCTTTTCCAGCATTGCAAGCAACAAGCAAGCAAGCAGCCTTGTAGTGGCTTATCAAAACAGGCGAGACCAGAGCAATAAAACTCATGAGGAAATTTGAGTACGTTTTGCGGTGCAGAATGCAGCTATCACAACGCAGGGGTTCATGGAATCCTGGAAGAAGGGGTAAGTTTAGGGTTTAGGGTCCCGGCTCCTACTGGTCCTACTGTCCTTCTCAAGCGTAAGTTCCCCTTAAAACCGCCCCCCACCCCTCAACAATGAATGCACCCAATACGGAACTTCCATATATTGTAGCATTGTAGATCGGTAGTAATCTAGCTCCTATGAAAGCTTAATGTTCGAGTGCCCATCTCTGGGTGGTTAAGGCTTGACCTGTTATTTCCAAAGCAGTTGTCCCGTATTGCACCCCCCTCAGAGAAATATGACACAGCCCCCAGTCAGTATTGTTTGGATAATAACCTTTGTGTGAATACTGAAAGCCCTTACCTTTTCCCTTCTTGTCGACGGCTCTGTGTAGTGGCAGTACAAAAACTATAGACCTAAACCCTAAACCCCTAAACCCCTAAACCCTAAACTAAACCCTAAACCCTATGACAGGGACTCTAAAGGAATGCACCTGAACTTTCGGAAACGCCTGTCCGGGAAATTCTTTGGATGGTACTGTCTCCCACAATGGGGGACCCCGATTACATCTAAAACGGGATCCTCTGCAAATGCAGATATCAAGATGGACATGTGCGGGCGGATGATCAAGGGAGACATGAAATCTAAGGGGGCAATTGGGTGTTGAAGCAAATGGGCATATTAGGACACTTCCAACGTTAAACAAACCGCACGCCTGCGTGGCCGTCATTGACCTGGCCTTCTCCGACGAAGTTCCTGCGGACAGATGTCACGTAAATGGTTTGGAGGGTTCTCTAAATTATGATCTCCAAATTATGATCTCCTAATAAGGATTTTAGAAAATTGGTGTCTGCATTGAGGTCCCCTGTTTAGGGAAACTACCATATGGTCAACTTCCATTTGCCCGGTCCAGTCTACCTCCTTACCTAACCCGGTATAGGGGCTTCCGGGAATCCGGGATCCTTTTCAGGGTCCACGGACCATGCTAATACTTTATTGGGGTCGAGTTTGGAGCCCACGTCATTTCCTCCCCGAGGCCTGAGAAAAAAAAACCACATCCCTGCTAATATTTCGTCTTCCTCGAAATATATAGTCCCCCTGAAGTAGATAGAAGATGAGTATATGGGGATCTCATTATAATATATACCCAAAACCATCCTCTATCTACTTAAGGGGGACTATAGGATGGTATAAATTCCATATTGGAGGGTTGATTGTTATTCGGGTGGTGGGGGGTTATCATTGTGGGATGGGGTTCATGAGCATTCAGAAGAGCTTCACTCAATGGCACGGGTTCCGATTAGGGGAAATATTAGGGACCATACTAAACCACCAAAGGAACCCCTGTCCAATGGTCCCTTGGTAGCCCTTATATTGGTAGCAGCTCACATTATCCCCATCAAGCTCTATGCAATCCCAGTTTCCCTTTCGTTTTGCATCTTCTTATCCCCCATGTAACCCATAAACCCTAAGCCCTAGTCCCTTAACCCTAACACCCGTAGATCCTACAGCGTAAACCATAAACCCTTAAATCAAGTTGGCATCCCCAAGCGGCTCGAGATTAGCTGTTCATGACTTTCCTCCTGAGGCTCCTAAGTCTCCGGAACCCGTCCCAAGTAGTCCTGACGAAAACAATCCTATAGTACCCAAATAAGGTAAAGGATAGAAGTTATAAGGGTACATAGGTGCATAGACGCATTGTAGCGGGTAATGGGTTAAAGGGTCCAGGTACCCGAATGCTGGTGTTTAAGGCCCCAAATAAACTAATCTCGCTTCGTTTGCTGCCTAAAACCCACTTATTTGGGCATTTGGACCCCCAGGGAACTTCCGAGCAAGAGGAAGACTTGCGAAGAATGTGTCCGAACATAGAAGAAGCCTTTTGAAGACAGTTATGACTCTTCCGGCTCCGAGTTGGGCTTTTCTGCGAAGGGCTTCCTCACTTCTTATTCGGAACGTTTCCATCATACTCCAGCTCTGGCTTCATGCTAAACTCTGTGTTTGCCCTCCTCAGATATGAAGCATGTTTTGTGAAGGATTTTGCTCACAAGCGCAAGCGGATGAGACCAACACATGCTCTGTGCTGGGTGCGCGGAAAACCTTTACAACATTTCGTGTACTGCGGAAAAGGATGAACTGGCATCCACGACAGTACACATAGAACCGCATCATATGCGTGATGTGGGGCGGGCCAGCACGGCCATGCCCAGTGCAAGATCAACAGACACGTTCCCAGGCTCCGTCTTTTCGCTCGAGGATTGCAGGCTTCCATCTGTCGTATCCATGTGCTGTAATATGGCTGTTGTAGTCCTGCATTTCCAGTCGCTGCACGGTGATGGTCACGGTTGCCTTCTCCCCATCAGCAGCCAGAGCTACAGTAGCCTCACCTGAGGCACATACCCAGGCAGAATGCTTGGCAGACTGAGTGTCCTGCCAAAATAAGCACACCTTGTTATGACCATGACCCATGATGTCTTCCACTTTCCGCGTGTGCTGGCGAGTCGCTACCGTCACAGACGAAAAGTCCTCAGCGACATACTTCTCACCAGGTGACACCAAGCGAGACCGCGGGAAGCCCTCCCCGGAGATGGTTGTCATCCCAGCCACCAGCACCTGAGCTATAATTAGTCTAAACTCCTAGTATCCCCCTTAGAAAACCCTACAGGACTCCGCTATATAATTCCCTATATAACCCCCTTTAGGGAGTTTAGACTTTGGCTCACCTTGGTCGCCAATGCCCGGGCGGTTTCCAGGACTGGTTTGGTCCCAAGGGGGACGGGGCTCCAGTCGGATGCGAAGGGCTGGCTCCGGTCTCCTCCTTTGTACCAGAGCCCAGTCGCCTCATCGCACTCCCACTGGTCAGCCATCTGCCTACTGAGGGCGGTTGGCCTTGATCCTAAAGAGCCTGCGCTACATGCCCCAAGATGTGGCTACCCGATGCAAGGCTACCCAACCGCCACAAACAACCTATTTCACACTATTGTGATCATTACTAAGGGGTGTTGCTGCAAGGTGTCAAGAGTCCAGACAGCTGAAGGTAGAACTTTGCCTTGATAGCTCAGGGCTTGTGGATTCCTTGCAGATAGCAATAGCTTGGCCGTGTGGAAACTTCTCCTTCCTGAGGCAAACTCAAATGAGAATCCAGACATGTTTTGTTTTGCACAAGGCCGCTCACCATGCCAAACTACCATGGACTCATCAGCAAATCAAGTACCTCAAATCATAGCTTGTCTAAATATATTCATCCGTTTTGGAGAACTCTACCTGGCTTGTCTAGAATCCAACCACTCAGACATGTGAAGGATACGTATAGACTCTAAAGAGTTCGACGCTCAATTCCTCTGCCAACCTCATGTAATATAACTCTAATATACCCCCTATATACCCCCTATATAACCCCAATATAACCCTAATATAACCGTAATGTAACCCTAATGCAACCCTAATATAAGCCCAATATAACCCCAATATAGCCTCATGTCAACAAGCCATGTCCTGAATCCACCTTGGAGCTCTCCCAACAGTTAATTTTTTGGAGCCTTTAAAAACACATTTTACAAAAACCAGGATACCCCTACTTGGGGGGTCAGGGGACTTATAAAGTAGGTTAATGATTGGGACAACTGGGGTTCTAGTATGAGGTAGAAAAGGGTTATATGTAAACTTGCTAAGCGCCCTTCACCCTAAACCCTTAACACCAAATAACATGATAGCTGACATTTTCTTCTCCATTCCTTACAAACTCCTCATGACCCGAAACTCTAGACACAAATTCCGAACCCATAACCCTAAACCCCAAATAGTATTTTCCATTTTCTTTTCCATTATCCCAAAATAACCCCAATATAGCCCCATCATAGTAGTTTCCATTTTCTTTTTTCCATTATCCCTAAGGCGCCCAGTAGGTGTCTCGGAGTTCCCAGTGCAACGCCGGCCTTTTGGTCGTCGCTGTCAGCCCGGCAAGACTTCACCCAGGCCAGCTACATTCCTAGAAGTGCTTAGGCCTAGGATTGGGATGAAGGGTATAGAAACACTAGTGCTATAGAATCTATAGTAATGATTTCACTGGCCTACAGGATATTTCCCGGCTATACCTTGGACTTTTCCCTACCTGGGCTGCCGCTGATTCTTGTTATTTGTCTTCTGTGACAGTTGTAAGTCCAGCTGCAAGTGCAGGTCGTTCCAGTGTTGGTCGCGTCTGTGCCATCTGAAGCCCTACGCTTGGTCGACTGAAGTGTTTCGGCCACACAAAGAAGGGGCGAGTCATGGGATTTGATTGCTATCTTTTTGCAATCTGTGCACCCATACGCAGCTAGTTGCAAATCTTTGGCTTTTGCATCCCTGAACTCTAAACCCATAAACCCTCAACCCGATACCTGCTTCGGTGGAAGATCTTTGAGCCACAGGTCGGCAACTTCGGGCATGATCATCCAGTGATGCTGTGGGAGAGACATTTGCAATTCTTGGGTTTCCCAAAATGATGGGTACCATTTCGGGCGTCCCTATAATAAGGACTAGAGTATGTTGGGGGCTATCTTGGGGTCCCACGATTTAGGGAAACTACCTGAGAGACCTTAAACCCAGAACCCCCGCACCCTGAACCCTGAAACCTGACAGCTACTCTAGACTCTATGTATCTCCAAAGACGCCATAACACCCAACACTGCACCCGGGCATAAAACTCTCAAAGTTGGGGATAGAGCTCAAGGTAGCAGCAGGCCTGTTTTAAGTAGCTGAAGGGTTTAGGGCTTAAGGTTTTTGGGTAAAAGTTGCTGTAGGCACAATGATATGGAAACACACTCATGTGCATAGCCGGCTTTACAAGGATGATTGCCAATCGCTAAACCCTCAACCCATTAAAGAAGTTTCATGGATAGGAGATGACATACCCTAAATCCTAAACAGGATCGCTGCGTTTCCGGATATTTCTCTGACCCCTCAAGGCATGTAAGACCACAAGCAGCCGTCTACAGCATTGTTGACCCTCTCACCCGTCATGAGGAAGCCCTCAACCCGTAATAAGTACTCCCCGTATACTGCCAAGATGTCATGCGGGGGAATATTCAAAAATATAAGCCCTAAACCCTAAACCCTAAGGATGGGGAGTTGCATCAGCAGAGGGGCTGAAGCTTACCACTGGGTCGTGCATTGGACGGTAAATCTGGCTTTTAGACTCAGCAATTCAGGGTTTGGGCTGGGGATAGAAAAAGGCGACCTCAACACGGTCAGAAACAGGCTGAACTGGAGGTACTACCTCCATCCTGGTAGATCCCTCAAACTCACCTAAGGCCTGAGTCTTCTACTTAACTAGCAAGGAAACCTAGCTAGACCTTCAATGAATCTTTAAACGGAATACAGTGTGGACATGGGTATTTGTGAAGTCCAGCTGCATCCATAGGCCAGAAATGCAGAAGCCCGGTAAATTCCACACAACACCACAGGAACTCATAAACACTTCTTGGCAATATGTCTCCTCAAAGCTACTAGTTGTGAGATTCAGCCAGAACCCTAGATAAACCCCCAATTACCGTCTTTTAACAACGCGGCTGCTTGCTGCTCCTTCGTAGCTGCGCGGGGACTGACGGTCACAGGAATGTATACCACACCCATGTTTAGGAACCCTTCTCAAGGCTCTCCCTACCCGAATACACCTACCATCACCTTGGGTGAGACGGGTGGTATGCAATCCCATAACAAGGACAACTAGACTTCCCCTGGCTTCGCCCAAGGCTTTCAAAGGATGAGGCGAGGACTGCGAGCACGCGCTTGTACAGCCAATGACAGTGTTCCTATGCAGCTTCAGGATTTCCCAAATAGGGGGACCCCAATATAGACCCCAAAATACCATAACCCTTTTCATAGGGAAACACACAAAACGGTAACCCTAATTTGGGAAACCCAAAGCCCTGTATATCCCTATACATACCTATATAATCCCCATATAACTCCTGTATAAACTTTATATAATCCCCCCTAATTTGAGAAATCCCCATGTAGAGAAGCTCACACGTGGCTGCGGCTCACTGAAAAGCGATCTCAGCCTTCTGCCGTTTCTCAGGTGAATCTTCTGCTGCTGGTGCCTTCCTGACAAGAGATTCTTTCGGGTTTCAGGTTGAAGGTTAGGATCTTGGGTTTAGGGTTTAGGTTGCAGGGTTTGGTGCCAAAGTTTAGGGTCTTGTGGGTCTGCCGGAACGAGCTAGTGTGCTACGAATATTAATTATCCAACCGTTGCTGTTACGGAGTGGGGACAGTATCCGACATTGGGACTACGCAGTAGGATTAGGTGCTAACTAGCGGGGGGATAGTCGTGAAGTTCAGTGGGCACTGCGACGTCAAGGGCAGTACCCTAAACACCTTGCAGTCACACCGTAGAAGAGAGCACAACGGTCTGTAACGGACATGTAGCATGCGGGCATAAACCTTGCATGCAATCTCGACTTAAGCTTTCTTGGTAATTGCAAATTGCGGAGCTTCGCGATGTGGAATTTGCAAGGGGTGCAACTGTTCCAAGCCGGTGCTTTTGGGCTCTAGAAGGCGGGTTCTTCTACCTGTGGGAGGGAACCTTGACACTGTGGCGATAAATCTATTTTTGTGCATCATGAAATGTTCAGCTCACAACGGACATGCAACACAGCATCACCAATGCCAACTCAACAATGAAACTGCGGCTGACATCCCAGGATAGTGGAAAAGGGAAGTGCGGAACAGCATACCAGTGGACTGAAGAACTTGTTACGCCGTCTGCCTCTTCTTGGCTTCCACCCTCTTGGGCGCAGAGATGAGCTTGTTGAGGATGATGCGCAACTCATGGTCTTTGCAGTAGCAGCCTTACCAGGAGCAAGCAATTTCTGCACATCCCTGCATGGAGAAACACTTTTGCGTGTATCTAGTAGGAGGCACCTTAGCCTTGCTAGCATTGGCGAAAAAATGGGATGGCTGACATGCATCGAAAGAAGGATGATGCAAAGGTGAACAAGCAATTTAGGTCATCTACGAACATCCGTGGCCATTGCCCGTTGCCGGCACCACGCACCTCTGAGGCCCATACCTGCATCCGAGTTGTCCTTGGCAGGAAACATAGGCATAACTACTGGGCTCGCACGAGCAACAGCAGTTACCACTGAGCTGATGCTGCTATGGTGCTAGTGATTGTTTAGGGTTTGGAGTCTGGAGTTTAGACACGCGCATCGTACACGCAAGCACGGCAAACACTGTCCAGTAGGTTCTAGGGTTTGGGGTTTGCTCAGGGTTTGGGGTTTAGTGTTTAGGATGATATATGAAAGGCCCCTCATTTTCACAAATGTGCATACGTGGCTGGGAAAGATGTGGGTCCCCCACCTTGGCATTTCTCAGTTTGAGTCTTTAGGGATAAGGGGTTATAGGATCATAGGGTTTAGGGTGTAGGGTTCAGGGTTTACGGTCCTCTGACTGGGAATATTACCTGCCCGCCATATATCGGGATACTGGAAAAGAACCTGGAAACTACCATTTAGTTTTGAAGGACTGCAATAACGGAAGGTTAAATGGACAATGGACTGAATACTGCGTTTATAACAGATATCTCCAAGTACACACGAACCCCTTTACATCTGAAAGCGGATCCGCAAGTACAATAGTTACTCACTACACCTATGCACTTCCTGGACTCCTGTAAAATCCCTAAACCCTGAACCTTGCTCCAGATTTTTCAGAGAACTCGGGTGCAAGCATTGCACATCTTTGCAAAGGCTTCCTGTCAGGCGGATCAGCTTGGCGTTAGACTTTCTGAGAGAGTTGGGGGGCTTAGGATTTGAGTTTAGTGTTCAGGGGTCAGGGCTTACTGGGGCTCAGGTGGTTGGGATTCAAGGCCTCGAGTTCAGGGACTGCG